TTCTGCAGCATTTCAGTGGCAATATTTGTGATATTTCAGGCCGCATCTAGCTACTTGCATATAGATAACTCTGACTTTCAGTATATTAACTGCCAACAATAACTGTATGACTTTTTGATATTCATTCACCCTAGCTTCAAAATGCTTTGGTATATTGTTTTATATTAAAAATGGCAATGTCTGTAATGAGGTAACCATTTCTTTCCACAACATTTTTTATCTCCTTCTATTTTAGTAGTGTAGTGTATGGCAATGTAAATTATCAAGACAAATAGATATAAGCAAGTTGAGACTCAGTACTGCTTAACAACACAGACTTTCATGCCCACATCCACTATTAAAGTCTCAGTCTTTGAACATCTTACACTAGGATAGATGATAATAGGCAAACAAGATGTAGAACTGAGCAACTCACTTTCAAGGGAAATACATCGATAGAGAAGACAATGGTATAAAAGGGAAGAAAAACTGACTTCAAGCTAGCTGTGAGTCTTCATTAAGACTTTCTTTGCCTGTTCAGAAGAAGACTGTCCAAACTAAGCAATATCAGAAGGACTGTAAAGTCTACTATGACTTTTCTTACAAAAGTATAAGTGAAGTTTGCTATGCCAATAGCCTACAAAGAACTGCTGACAGAAGGATGACATCTTCAGTGAGATAAGAACAGCCAAAGGACTACAAAAACATTGGCCAGAGAGGCAGGAAACTCTGTATCCTTTATATAGCTTGTTAGTTACATTAAAGGATACAGAGTTTCCGATATAGCTTGTTAGTATAGCTGACAAGCTATAAATAGCAACAGTGTTGTTGTTACATATACATTTATTTGAGTATGTGTCACAGCCATCCACTTAATACAGATAAATTTAAAACACAAATCTGATTAATCCAATCCATTAAACAAATTGAAACCCAGGTATGGGTAAGTGGAATGATCATCACTACATTTCCTACAATTCTCAGTGTCATTCAGATAAACCTTTTATTAAAAAAGAATTTAATCAGTGCATTATAGTACTTGCCTCTTAAGGCTTACTCAGCAAATTGCCTCTCAGAGTACCAAGCAAAAAACCCACTCATTTCTAAAAATAAGAACAACACAGAATAACAATAAGCTTTTGTCTTTTAGTTCTGCTTTATGTTTAAGTTCCAAAGGGAGAGGAAAGAACTGCTTTCAGAAGTGGAGAAGTTGTTCTGATGTTTTAAGGTCCCATGTGACAACATTTCCTATTTATAAGATACACACTTCATAAAATCTCAGGTTAAAAGTTACAAGACTACACAGAAAATTCATTACTCTAATTGCAGGACAAGTGTTAGAAAGAAAAAAAAAATAATAATAAAAGGTTCAGTATGAAAAACACCCCAGCATCTCTAAAGAAAATAGATACTAATCATTGGTCAGCTGAATGTTGGCAGGCAGAAGAGAAGATGCTGAAAGTAGAATAAGAGAGTAATAGCAGTTGCTAACTTTGGGGTACATTCCATTTAAAAACTGTTATAATAAACAGTTTTGCACTGTTTCTATACTACAAATGTTTGAACACTATAAAAGACTGAGTTGCAAGAATAAACCTTCATGATTTTTTTGTTGTCTATAAGCTGATGCAAAATATTATTCAAGGAAGCTGTTTTTGATGAGTAGTTTAGGAAACCCCATCAAGAAGGACTTCCAACATGCTCAAAAGAAATGAAGATACAATTTTTAGCTCTCCTGGTTAAATGGGGTACAGAGAGGACTTTCTATGATCTTGTATTGTTGTTAACCACCTCTAACTTTCAGTTCTAAAAATAAACGCAAATCCTTCCTGAAGAACATGATTCTGCTTTGGAGCTCAGATTCAGGGAAGTGTTACCAATTACACACATCACATACCAGCTATTACTAAGATTTCAGCAGTTCCCTAATATGCTGCTCAAGCACTACTGGTCATGGCAGTTCCACAATTCCAGGGCTTTCCTTGGAGCAGTAGAAAAGCAAACTTTTTACACATAGCAATGGGATAATGGAGTGCTTTCACATTTATTTACCAATGAAAAGAACATAAATAATGTAACTGTTAGATCTAATATTGCTTGCCTTTTACCTATACAGAACAAAAAAACTTAGGTATGTTCAAGGTATTTATGAACAACTTATTGCCCACAGACTTTACTAGCAACACGCATGTTGGAAACCACAGCTTGTAGATGGATATATCGCAAGAGATAGCACACGTATTATTTGGAATGATTCACATCTTTAAAATCCTAGATACTGGAAAGAAGAGAAGGTTCCTGTTTTCTGATGTAAAAATACAACATTAATCAGGCTGTGATTAAGTTGGCAATAGATAATTCCCAAAGTTCACTTACCTTGTTCATACACTAAACTGACTTAGAATAAAACTACCAGGAGAAGGATTGTTGAGAAGGTGACTTGAAGGGAAGAATCAATATTTGGAATTCTCAAATAAGACTACTACTTTACAAAAAGCTCACTAGTTCCACTCAATGTTTTGAACAGTAGAGTAAAACAAGACAACACTTTCTTAATCAAACGAACAAAGCCCTCAGGTAAAGGTGTACATTTGATAGAAAAGTAGAAGAGTGACTGCACCGAGAACCCTCAGCTCTACCAGAGGAAGCAGCTAATGCGGAACACTGAGGACACAGAACTAAAAATTTCACTATTTGATTGGTGTGGGAGGGGTTAGTACAACAAAACAGCTCTAATAAACGCAGATGAAGTGTTTATAATTGGCTGTTCCACTAGCTGTAGAAACTTCAGCTCAGTGAATGGAAAAGTTAGTATGCATCTTTATGCCTTAACAAAGGCCTTTTACATTTAAACTACTTGCAATATATTTTGTAATTAAAATTATATATTGCATTCACTTAAAAAAAAAAAAAGAAAGAAAGAAAAAGTGTACTGAGACTAACATATTAAAATAAATATATAATGTAAACTGTAAATATGAAACACCACAGAATCATAGAATCATAGAATGGTTTGAGTTGGAAGGGACCTTTAAGATCATCTAGTTCCAACCCCCTGCTATAAATTATCTTTATGATTTTTTATAACATGTTTGTTTTATATAAATGTTTGTTTTATATATACTTAAGCTGCTAAATTTCTCATATGATTGTCAGCATCTGAAAAAATGTGGTCAGCTACCACTAGGTGAAAAACAAACATTTCCCAGTAAATTTCCACTTGCTTAATAAAAATAAAAAAGTCAATCTGCATTGACTGTTCTGCTCACCAAGAAACAGTCAGGAAGCTGTTTAATGACCAGAGTGAACTAGTCTCAGACCAGCTTACTGAAATCCAACTGGGCTTTGTGATCTGCAATGGAAAAGCAGTGAAGACCTGATTTTCCAATTTGCTTCTCAACAACTACTACAGAGCAGTCTCAGCTGAAACAGGAGCAACGCATTCAGAATTCTACACAAACAACAAACGCCTAAGGACAAAGGAGATTCTGGTGCTGTAAAATAGATTCATGAAATGCTTCCAAAATGACTGAAAAATTTAGAGCACTGGTAAAAAAAACCCAGAAGACTGCTTATATAAAATATTTAGTCAATAGACTAATCATAAAAATAGTTTCATAAACATAAAGAAAGATCAAACAGTTTAAAAAGTGCCTGAGCACAGCTTAGTGCCATCTTTGTTGTATGTGATACAGAGCAAAATTTTTGAAAAACTGTACATAGCACATTTAAATACACATGCAAAAACAAAGCTGGGGTATTTGATTCACTTAGTACAGAACAGAAAATGAAGCTGGGGAAACAGACTCATATGAAATTGCACTTAAACCCAGCCTCATCAGCCGTAATAGAAGAAAGAAAATAAATGATATGAAGATCTTGAGAGTGAGTTTTCTTGAAATATTTCTCAAGCATTTCTGAGAACTGAAACTCTAGTATGTTTGAGAAAGAAAGTGAACAACAAAATGTGTTTGGGGTTTAATTGCATCTGTATATGTATCATAGAAAAGTCAAGCCAAATCTATTGTTATGTGTTGTAGTCCTTAAAATTGATTTTACAATTTTTACATCTGCAAACTCAAAGCGTTTCATACAAGACAGAACTACGGTAGCAGCCATAACAGGTGGATATCTGATGCCTGTGACAGTGAAGTGTTGGTATATCTCACAGCATCAGGTAAAGATTGTACTAATCCAATTTACTACTCCATTCTACCTTTATTAGGAGCTCAGGTAGGACCATACAGGCAGCATAGGACAGCAATGAAGAAGGATTTGACCTGATGTTTCTAAACCAGAATCCTGCAATGTTTTTGAGCTCCTGTCAGTAAATTCAAGCAGTACTCAAGTAATAACGTGCTACACTGCACAAAGGCAACTCAAATACAGCAACAGTTTGCTGAAACTGCTAATTAAAAAAATAAAAAATAAAAAAAATAAAAAAAAAAAATCAGGAGCTTTAAACTGACACAGCAAGATTCATTAGACTTACTTGTCAATACACTTGAAAAACTGGATTTGGACACAAGCAAAACCAGCCAATTACTTGAAATTAATCATTTACTGTTTCTCAGCTGAGCTAAGAGCACATTCTCAGTCCACCCAATTATAAAACAGAAATTGCACAATCTTCCTGGAGGTTTAAACTAATGCATTTCCTTGTGCAAGTGTGTGCATCTTACTGTGGTCAGCTTCTGTAATTTAAGAAGCAGGAGTTCCTTGATTTCTATGCAACATTTTGGCATGTGGCGGGGAAATTCACAAAGAAATTTTCAAATGGAGCCTTTAAAGCTTTTACTTGTGTTCTACAAAATGATCTCATGAAGACAGTAAACGTCTAGTAGTTGCTTTTGTTGTACACTAAGAATTAAAGCAAGACTCTACTGATGAGGAGTAAGTGATGTCTGACTTTCTAGTTACAGTTTGCATTAATATTAGAAAACATATATACATTTTTATATATATATACACACCCACTAATTAAGTTTCTTTGTAGAAATGAAAGAGTAAGAAAAGGATATTTTCCTGGAACTTCAACACCCACTCTGTAGTCCACGTAACTTTCATATGGGTGGAAATTGAAAATAAAAAGGAGACCAGCTCTCTCAAATGCAATGACCTTGTTGGATTCATGCTTTTCAGTCACATAAGCCTAAGAAGGAAAAAAAAAAAAAAAAAAAAAAAGGTAAATCCAATGCTAAGAAATATTTTCCTTCATAGAATCAATCATAAAGTAATAGAAAGAGACCTCAAGTTCCAAATCCCTGCCATAGGCAAGGTTGCCAGCCTTAGATCAAGCACTAGATTAGGTTGCCCAGGGCCCCATCCAACCTGGCCTTGAACATCTCCAGGGATGGGGCATCCACAGCCTCTCTGGGCAGCCTGTTCCAGCACCTCAACATCTTATCAGAGAAAAACATTCCCCTGATTTAGATTACTAAATCTCCCTTCCTCTAGTTTAAAACCATTACCCCGTCCCATCGCTATCCAGTACTGTAGAAAGTTGACCACCCTATAATCTCCCTTTAAATACTAGAAGGCTGCAATGAGGTCATCTCATAGCCTTCTCTTTTCCAGATTGAACAAGCCCAGACCCTTCAGCCTGTCTTTATAGGAGAGGTGCTCCAGTCCTCTGCTCATCTTTGTAGCTCTCCTGTAGACCTTCTCCAAAAGCTCAACATCTTTCCTATACTGGAGATCCCAGATCTGGATTGACTATCCCAGGTGGGTCCTCATGAAGGCGGAGTAGAGGGGGACAATAACCTCTCTTGTCCTTCTGGCTGCCCCTCTTCTGATGCAGTTCAGGTTACCATTGGCCTTCTGGGCTGCAAGAGCACATTGCTAGTTCATGTTAAGTTTTTCCATCTACCAGTACTCCCAAGTCCTTATCAGCAGGGCTATTCTCAAGGAGTTAGTCTGTATACATACCTGAGATTACCTCGACGCAAGTGCAAAACCTTGCACTTCACTGTGCTGATCGATCCTCATTAGGTTGACAAGGACTCAGCTTTTGAGTTAATCAAAGTCCCTCTGGATGGCATCCCTGCCTTCTGTTCTATCAACTGCATCACTAAGCTTCACGTCATCAGCAAACTTTCTGAGGGTGCATTTGATCCTGTCTCTATGTCACTGATAAAGATGCTAAAAAGTACTGATGCCAGGACAGACCCTTCTGGGACATACTGCTTGTCACTGGCCTCCACCTGGACATAGAACCATTAACCACAACCCTCTGGCTGCAAATAGTCCAGCTTTCAAATCCATCTCTCTCCAATTTAGAGATAAGAATGTCATGGGGGACCAAGCCTAGTGGAGGTCCAGGTAGATGACATCAGTTGACTTCCCTTTGTCTACTGATGCCGTTAACCCACCATACAAAGCCAGTGGATTAGTCAAGAATGACTCTGTCTTAGTGAAGTTATGCTGGTTGTCTTTTATCATCTGCTCACCCCCCATGTGACTTAACATGTCTTCAAGGAGGATTTGTTCCATGATCTCAGGCACAGAGATGAGGACCACCGGCCTGTAGTTCCCTGGGTCCTCCTTCCACACTTCCTGATAAATGAATGTGATGTTTCCCCTTTTCCAGCCACCAGAGATTTCACCTGACACAAAAGTCACAACTTTTCTAGTCATGGAACACTTTCCTCTAGATCATGAACTCAATCAATCATCTTTAATGATTTTTTCTGCATTAGTGAACACCAGGTCCACAACATTTCACCTCCAGTTGGTCTGTCCAATACTTGAACCAGAATCTTATCACTGATGGACTCCAGGAGTCTGCTGGATTGCTTGCAACAAACTGCATTGCTTTCCCAGCAGGTATTTGAGTGATTGAAATCCCCTGTAGGCCTCGTCAACAGATTCCTCCTGATCAAGTGACCTATAGTAGACCCCAACGACCAGCAGTCCTCTACTGGTCTCATACCTAATCTTAACCCACAGCCTCTCAACCTGTTGCAGACTTCTTTAATTGAATTAACAAAAATAAGAAAAAAAAAACAAACTTCTGCAATACCTCATTTCAAGTAAAACAATAAAAGATTGAAGCAATACAGATATGAACATTACATGTAAACTGTAACTCTCATGCCTACATAATGCCATAGAAAATTTATGAACAATGAACTGTAGCTTACTTTTTAAAAGGATATGTAAAATTAAAGAGGAAAAAGCACATTTTCCTTTTATAAATTCAATTTTTCCATTTCCATGGGGTGATGATCAGTGTCAGTTCTTGGTGGGTTTTTGTGTGTTTTTTTTTTTATTTTGTGCCCAAATAGCTCTGATAAACTAAATAAAACATCAAACATCTTTGCTGAATTTACTAAAGCTATTAATAACTAGAAGCACATTTCAAAAAATATATATATCTTTGAAATAGATTATGACTAGACTATGAAATAATTTAAACACTGAGAAATTATAATTCAGTTGCTTTAATAAGTACAGTGCGATATTTAGGGAAAAAAAAGGCAAATAAAAAAGTGACAAGTTGAAGACTAGGAAAATACACCTTGCATTACAGCCGATCAAAAGTATTTCCTCAGAAATAATTATATATGTAAAAGTAACTTGTCAGAGCAATTTACACTTTCCCAAAGCAATCCTTGGATTGGATTACGCACAATTTCATAGTCTGCTTTATCCAATCTGCAGTTACTTAAAAAAAATAGCAAAAATAATACAAATAGCAAAAATAATACAAAAAGTGCTTGTTATGAAGCTAGAAGGAGACTGTTTCATATTTCCATTATCTGTGGAAGATATTTCAGAGACAAGTTTTGACAACTTGAAATATATAGAGAGACATTACACAGCGCATAATAAAGTGCTGTTTAAAATTTCTGCATGCAAATTTTGTATTGTTGTTATTCTGAACACGTACACAACTGGTGACTAAAAACTTATCATTTACTATATACAGCTTACCGGAGGAGATGCAAGCCAGCCAAATTTTTCTTCCAATTTATTCATATCTCTGTCAAACTCATTTAGGAATTTATAGCGAAGAAGATGATCATCAGTAAGATTGAACTGTCTTCTGGCATAGTGAAAGCTCTCATTATTCCCTTTTCTGGGGAAGTCAAGCCATTCTGGATGTCCAAATTCATTACCTGTATTTAAAAATATCAAGGAGCTGTGAAATCATGTGATAAAAATAATAATAAAATCTTAGAAATAAAATACATTAAAAGGTATTTCCTTTCTACAAGTTTTAAATTTCAAAGAATTCATACATGAATTGGTCCTTTTATTATTAAAATCATTTTTAGAACACTCATGCTTGGTAACAGGTTTGTTTGGTCAATAAAACTAGCAGAGTAAAATATCCATGAACCCAAAGGGAAATCTGAATTGATGGATGCATTTTAACCTCTACGCTATCATACCATGATCATTTCTCATTGCAATTCTTTAAAATAAGGGCAACAGGATTTCAGTCAGCCATGATACAAGCTTCACAGTTGCTATAAAACCATCACCATAGTAAGTCCATTACCTAAGAGAACTTATCAGAAATCAGCACTGACAGTTTCTGTAACCATAGAGGCAGAACTTTCCCCCCAAAAATGCCATAAGACAGGGACCCACTTTGACCATCCTTTTGATTTTTTTTAACGGTGGCCATAAATACTGTCATCACTGTTTCCAGTGGTATAAAAATAACAATTAGAAAAGTGACCAGAATCACTGTTCCTCATTTCCCAGGAAAATTCAGAAAGATATCCTCGTTAAAGGAGTAGGCTAGATCATATAGAATAAAGCACAGTGCTTTAAAATGACAAAGTCTTGATGGATGAAAAACTTAATATGAGCCAGCAGTGTGCCCTTGCAGCTCGGAACGCAAATGGTATCCTGGGCTCCATCAAAAGAGGGGTGGCCAGCAGGGACAGAGAGGTGATTGTTCCCCTCTACTCTGCTCTTGTGAGGCCCCATCTGGAGTACTGAATCCAAGTCTGGAGCCCCCAGTACAAGAAAGACAGGGAACTGTTGGAGAGGGTCCAGAGGAGGGCCACAAAGATGATCAGGGGACTGAAGCACCTCCCCTATGAGGACAGGCTGAAGGAGCTGGGCTTGTTCAGCCTGGAGAAAAGAAGGCTGCACGGTGACCTCATTGCAGCATTTCAGTACCTAAAGGGAGCCTACAAAGAGGAGGGGAATCAACTCTTTGAAAGGGTGAGAGACAGCAGGACAAGGGGAAATGGTTTTAAGATGAGGGAAGGGAGATTTAAGTTGGATGTCAGGGGAAAATTCTTTCCAGAGAGAGTGGTGAGGTGCTGGAACAGGCTGCCCAGAGAGGTTGTGGAAGCCCCATCCCTGGAGGTGTTCAAGGCCAGATTGGATGGGGCCCTGGGCAGCCTGGTCTAGCATTAGGTGGGAAGGTTGGTGGCCCTGCATTTGGCAGGGGGGTTGGAGATTCATGATCCTTGAGGTCCCTTCCAACCCTGGCAATTCTGTGATTCTGTGAAAGTCAGTCTCTTACATAGAAAACAAGTGACTTAATGGACATGACACCTCAGTGATACAACATAACACCTTGAGTGAGTCCCTCTGTAAGTGGAGCTCCCTTCCTACACGTTATACTTTTTTTCACACACACAGGACCCTTCTAAGGACTGAAGTGATGAATGTTTTAATTCTGAATTCACCCACACACAATGGCTCAGGTCCCACTGACTGCAAATGTGGCATTTTTGTTTTTCACTACTGGTAATTCTTTGTAAGTTTACCAGTCTCATCACAATTATCTAGCCGACACAACAACCCTTTAAGGAATGAAATTGGCTTCTTCAGACTTAGTTGAAACTCTATGTTAAAAAAATAAGAAAAAGCTTGACTTATGTAGAATCTCCAAAGCAAATCTCAGCTGCGAAGCCAAAGAATCATGTCAACACTTCAATTGGAATACAATTATCAATGTCATTCACATATGCAAACTTTATTTTGTTTATATACAATAATTATTATGTTTTGATGAGAATTCAGATGAACTTAAATGTGTCTAACTCAGGCTATAAACTACTGCCTTGTACACTCCCAGCCAATTCTGACTACTCATTTTAGACAAGATTAGATGGTATTCAGTATTTTGAAAATTAGACACATTTCAATGCCTACAATAGCTGGTTCACCACAAACTTTTTATGGAGAGTACACAGAATATCTACTCACTCCAAAACACAGGCAACAAGTGGTACATGGGAACACATGGAATACACACAAATACACGGAAATTTGTAAAGTAACACAATCAGACATAAAAGGTTTACTACTAAGAAAAACTTCTAATCTTTCTACAAGCAACTCCTCAACTTCTGGCAATAAACTGCAGTTTTGTGAGCAGATGAAGGACAGGGATGCTGAGGGAAGGTGTGCACTGTTTCCTGAATGGATACTCTGCATGTGTAGCCACCATCTGCTGTCTCACACAGCCTGTGCTGCCTGGGAGGCTCTGAGGATACCATCAGGAGTGACAACTATGAATTTAGATTTTCAAAATGGTTTTTGTCTATTTCCATGCTTCATGGGAATAAAGAAGTGAACAGTGAACAAAAGAGAGAGGCTGCATATATATTTAGGAGAATTCTCTGCACTGGTACTTGTTTTGTAAGCAAGCTGACAAGTTGTAAATTAAATTTCTCGTTCAAAAGCTAAGCCACTAAATTTCATATTCAGCTCAGAACCAGAGACAAATATAAAAGAATCAGAATCACAGCAGGACTCTCAAAATGACCTTGGAATAATGCTGGACTGAGCTCTTAAGCAGTGATAACAGTAAGGTACAAAAATGGAGAAAACATATTGCTGCAAAACAGTTTATCTAACCATACTCAATATTCTCTCAAGAGCTGGACAAGGCATTACCTTCATTCATGATCTATGCACTATTGAAAAGATGGACTACACAAAATAGCTTAGTTAGAGAGTAAAAAACATCAGAAAGTCAGAGATGATATGTATCTTGAAAAGATAGCCAGGGAAATCATAACTTTTCGTTCAAGGAAAACATACAAATGGGGAAATAAACAATGGAAGATAGTAAAGATAGACTGAACCAGCACATTATTTTAATGGAGTATTTCACCAGAAGTGTATCTCTTTATGTTTCGACCACAACGCAACTCCCCTGTTTCCATCTCCTTTCCTTGTTTACCCACCACAGTAGCTAGTGTTGTCTGAATGCTGTTTGTGCTTTTATGTTGATTAAAAAAAAAAAAAAAAAAAAAAAAGCAAAATGAAAAAGTTAATAATGGTCAATAAGAAATAAGAAACACAGAATAATAGAATCATGAAGGTTGAAAAAGACCTCTAAAATTATCTATTCCAAGCACATAGTCCCCATCGTACTCACTAATGATGTCCCTTAGTACCATATGCACACATTTCTCTCCAGGGACGGTGACTCCAAAATCTCCCTGGGCAGCCTGTGCCAGTGTCTCACCCTTCTTCCTCAGAAGAAATTTTCCCTAGTATCCAACTTGAACATCCTCTGGTACAACTTGAAGCCATTCTCTCTTGTCGTATCACCTGCAAGAAGAGGCTGACCCCCACCTCTACACAACCTCCTGTCAGGTCATTGAAGAGACCAATAAGGTCTCCCCTGAGTCACCTCTTCATCAGACTAAACAACCTCAGTTCCCTCAGCCGCTTCCTGTAAGACTTGTGCTCCAGATCCCTCACCAGCTTTGTTGTCTATCTTTGGACATGCTCCAGGGCTTCAATGTCTTTATTCTAGCAAGAAGCCCAAAACTGAACACAGTACTCAAGATGCAGTCTCACAGGTGCCGAGTACACAATGTAGCAACTCAATAACAAGACCACATTACTAACAGGCCAGCAGGCCTTCTAATAAACTTAAATATGCTTTTGCAACTTGAAAAGCATTAATGCTACACAACCCTTAAGAAGAAACACACATCTTGTACTACTTTTTTTTAATCTTTTCAATTGCTTTTTGTCCTATTTTAACTCCACAGCAAAAAAAGGGAGGAGCTAGAAAACGGGAAGTAGAGGAATAGAGGGAAACTGACTGATGCTTACTTCTAGCCAAAGGTATCAGTGAAGTACATGCTTCATCCTCTGTTCCATTTCTCCTTTCTGATGAGAATCAGAAGCATTCACTTCTTAATAACTGTGAAAATCTCCAAGTGTAGAAGCACTATTGGGATTTCTTTTCCTGTAATTAATTTGCTGTTTGATGTAAAGGTCCAAAGGATAGATTAACAAGAAGCCAGCTGCTATAAATGATGCAAATCTAGACAATGGAACTAATGTGGGGGAGGCTGAGAACAAGGCTGAAATTATCTGGGATTTTGATTAGAGAAACAAAACAAAGACAAATCATTGAAGTGCAATGCATACTAATTTTATTTAGGAATTAATTCAAGTTTGCTATTCCCTACATATTGTGCAACTTCACTGTGTACAAGATTTCAAGATCATAGTTCCAACAAAGGAATTAACACTATCACTATAATGAAAATTTACATCTCACTTGTTTATTAGGGTAGAAATACATCTACAGTGCAAAGTAGTTATGATGATGATGATTACTTTGTAGCTGAGCCCCACAGGTCATTAAAGTTTTCTTGATCTCCCCTCTTAAGACATCTTTACTAGTTATTTCCTCTCAAAGAATAAGGCTAAACAAAACTGAGGGCATATTTAAAAGATGAAGGCAGTGCTAAGAGATGTCTGTTTTTTTGTTTGCTTTTGTTTGTTGTTCTTTTTTTTTTTTAATGAATTATGACATTAAATCTTTAAAAGGACTTTAAGCAAGTAGTCTACTTGATACATCAAAAATGAGAAGTAGGTGTATAAAGTCGAAGAAGTATATAAATGATCTAAAATACTGTAAAAAGATCCTACTTAAAGCATATGAGCAAGAGATCAGACACAGAGACAGATACTCAGCTACTCTACCTTAGCACATTTCTACCAAACTAAGCGGTAGTTTAAACAAGCCAGGTATTCAACTCATTTGTGAGTTATAACTGATTTGAATTTAAGTTCACTACCTTTGTGAGCACTGATCATAATACTACAATTTGCAGAGTAGAGAGACAGTGTAAATCAGATCTAGATAGACATGTTTCAAAAATAAACATTTCAA